ACAAGCGAAAAAATAAATACAAGTTTGGGACTGCCCTGTGATACATATTATTTTTTAATAAACTTTTTGATCCTAGCTCTCTTGCTAGTCAGAGAACTATCTACACTAACACGATCTTTTAGCAACCCAACAATAATACCAATTATCCTTTTTACGTTGCTTCGTAGTAATTCAGGATTATTTTTAATCGCGGACTTCGTAAGATTAATCTGATGCTCGCTACCACTTGTGGAGAAGATGCCATCTGGAGTATATATGATAAAATGCCACTCCATACCTGTGGTCACAATACCATAGATATAGTTGAAATAGTCATTCTCAAACGCTTGATCCAATGTTTATTTCTTTTTATTGGTCTGGAATGCACTTTTAAGTTGCGCCAAATTCTGAAGAAAAAAAATAAAATGCTATTAATACTATTGAATCTTCTATAAAGCACGAACGGATAGTAAATTTACCTACGCATATCCAATTTTAATATTACGAGGCTTTCCTTCGGTGATACATAGAAGGTCTTCTAGACTTTTGATTGCGTAGTCTATTCTGCCTGTTGCATCTTCACTGGATATATCTTTCTGTAAAACTATAAATATATCTTGGGAGGTAAGTTTTTTAGCTATAGTGATGGATGCATGGAAAATCAATGAAATAAATTCACAACGCATCACCTCGTTGGCGTCGGTCATGGTTTCCACATTTGAAAGTTTTAATATAATGTCTTCCATACAGTGTTCAAATGCTTTATCATCATCACTATTCTCCTCGAAGTCTGAAGGCAGAGAAAAATAAGTTAATATATGTAATACTCCAATCTGGAAAATTAAGAGAGTAATCACATACTAGGAGTAAACTGCTTGATGTTTGTTATATCCTCCCTATTGACCTTATTTCTATGCAACATTTCTTTCAAGTCGTCGAGAGTTTTAAACGAGAAGTAGTTTCGTAATTTCTGGCTGAGGCCTTCAATGAATTCTGCAAAAACTGTTGCTAGACCTAATGTGAGGCCAATACTGTAAAAGTCTTCCTTAGTTAACTTGAGAAAGGCAAGACCAGAAATTTTTTCTTTACGAAGAATTTTAATATCATCTTTATCAAGTTTTAAGTTTTTTCTCCCCAAATAATCAATAAGCTCCTCTGTATTAAAATTCTTAACAACGTCCGACATCATTCTAGTGGAAATTTCTTCCGTTATTAAGGCGGGTAAAGCGGGTGAAGAAGCTTGTGAAGACATGGTTTTTATATATGTATATTTGTGCTTGCGAAAAAATATGCACTTGATACAGGTAAAGCTGGTTTATGGATATAAAAGTATTTTTGGTTTCAGCGCTCAGGTAGAAATGATAGATTTTTTTGTATCGATTTATAATGCATTTGCCCAATATATATGCAATTAAGATGTAGTATAGAATTATCAAGCGATTATATTACATCATTACACGTGACATTTTTCAAGATTTATGACAAGAACATAATATATGCTTTATTTAAGAAATAAAAAAACGTTGCCAGAAGTTGGCCTACAATACATAAAAATTGTGACTATGCGAAGCGCCTTAACGGCTATCGCTTTTACACGATGATCTTATCTGGCAAGGTATAGAGAGGTTAACTTGGACCTCACGCCCGTTACTGGGTTTATATCTCCAGTATACCATGCTTGTGATGAATTAGAAAATATCTTCAGTTTTGTACCATCTGGGGCCTTAATAAACTTCACCACTTCATTCGCAAGAGTAGCAACTTGATTGCTAAATATTTTTTCATCAGAGGTGAGACGGTTAGGAGTATTATCTCTATCTTTGTCTAACTTGTCAATTGTTGAGATATTAGATGTATTGGTCTTATTGAGTATTTTGGCCCCATAGTGAGGAATTTTCGTTCCCATACATACATAACTTCTAATATATACATACTTTATTTTGCATTAGCTACGCTAGTGAAACTATTTTACAGGAATATTTTTTGCGAAAATTTGGCTGAACTTCTACATACCACTACATGCTTTATATTTTGCTGGAAAAAAGTTAAGAAGATAAGAATAGCGATTAGCATTGTCGTCTGATGCCAAGAGTTCTATGAAAGCACATGCAAATGGAATCTTCATACCTTTTCATATGAAGATCTACCCTGCAAGATATATAGTTGGTTTTACGCCTGGCGATCTCAAAATTGTGAATCCCTCAGCCTTTCATAACATATGCTTTTGTCAGCACTATTTACTTGTAGGGAAGGTCTTGTATTACATGTAGACCTCCTTTCACATTTTTTTCATGTTTATTCGAGAAAAAAATAGAGATACTGGTTAGCATATATATTTTCTTTTCGTTATATGCAAAAATTAATATGTCGCACAAGACCTGATTGATGATCCACTTATTTTTCTGTCACACAGGAGTAATCTGCTTGTGACGCAAAAAATTCCGATCAATGATCACCGCTCTGGACTATTGATCTAGCCAAATCTGGATCAGAATACCATTGCAAATTATCTCGCATACTTAGATCTAAGAGGCTCTGAAGGCTCTGAACTAAAATCTGTTTACTAGCAACATTGTTCTATGTAAGATGATTTCTAACCACTTCAATAAGATCAGGAGGCATTAAAGTTTCCACAAAATCCTCTACGTGAATATCTGGATTTAGCTGATTCACAGCTTTTTTGCTAATATTATAACACCCCTTCAAATTAAGATATTTTAAATTAAGACATGATCTGGCAATTTCTTCGATAGTTATATTACTAATTTTACAAAAGCTAATGTCAAGATGCTGGAGCCTTGGGCAAGAATGAATAATATTACAAATTAATATTTCAGAAAATTCTGTGCAGTTAGAAATGTTTAGATATTCTAATTTATAGCATGAATTTGTAATTGCAGATATACCTATATCATTTTCTGATTTAAATCTTCTACGTAAAGCAGATATATTAAGATACTTCAAATTTGGATATGATTTCGCTATTAGCTTTAGAACTTTACCTATACTGTCCATACTTCCTTCGAAATCTAAATGAATTATATTTTGGAAAGTATGCACAATACCTTTGATTTTTTTATTTGAAAGTGAACAGTAGTGTATTATTTTAAGATGAGTTAGTTTAGAGCTATAAACTGGTTTTCTTCCTCCTCCAGATACTATTTTTAAAAATCTTTCCAATCGAAATTTATCATCTATTTCATTTTCCTTTAGCTCAATGCGCTTCCATAGAATAGGAGCACCACATCTGTATCACAATCGGGAAACATATAGAGTAGGATAGAGAGATTTATCTATCAATAAGAAATATAAAATCTGTTTTATTACTTCTGGTATAATAAAAATACTTGAATGCACCATAAATAATAAATCTGTATCTTTAAACAAAAAAATAAAATTATGCGATCACTGCTCTGAACTGGCTGGCTTAGAAGAACAATCATCTTTTTGCGCAAACTCTAGCTCCTGTGCCAATCTATC